TATCTGATATTTTGTCCTCACATTAGCTCATTCTCTTGTGTATACTTTCTTTCTTTTTTAAAGGAAAAAAAATTTATTTGGCTTACAGTCTGCAGATATTTCAGTCCATAATCTGCTACCTCCAAGGTAGGGTGGCTTGGCAGAAGAGAAACAGTTTATGGTGGCCAGAAGGTAGCAAAACAAAAAGGCACCTTAACAGAGTCTTTCTGCCCTTTTTATCTTGCTCAGATTACAGGGATTAGGGTGGTGCCAAACCATTCAGTAGACTGATTTAGTAATCACACACCCTTAATTCCAGCATCACACACTCTAGATTCTGTCACCTCTGAAAATGCCCTATGACTGCAAGAGGCTTTGGGGTCACATCTAGACACAAACCACAACATTCTGCTCTGGACCTCCAAAGACTCATGCACATCCCTTTATGCAAAAGGCATTTAGTTCATCTTTAATACTTGACAAAGTCCTAACATTTTTTAGCATTGCTGAAAATTCCAAGTCTAAAGTCTCCTCTGAAATTTAAGGTGAACTCTTAGCTACAAAAAGTTAAACACTTCCAACATTCAATGGCACAAGATACACATTTCTATTCCAAAAGTTACAAACAAGGGGATAGAAAGGAAGGGGACCAAAGTCCAAACTGCAGCAGGATGGACATTAAGTCCCACAGTTCCACTTCCAGCATCTCCAGCCATCAGTAGGCAAATTGTAAACTCCAAAGGGCTTGGGTGGCTCTGCCCCTACGGCACTGCTCCCACAGCTTCTCCATTGGGCCAGTTCTGCTCCCTCCTTGCAGTTTTCCTCAGATGATCCATGTTCCTGGCTTCTCCACACTTCTGGGGTCTCCACTGCACCTTTGGCTTCACACTCACAGCTTCACACACTGCCCTCTCAGGGGCACTGCCTGGCCTCCCAGGCCTTCTTCTGAAATCTGGGTGGAAGCATGCCTGACCCCACAACATGCATTCTGCATGTACATCCACCTAAAACCATGTGCATGACGCCAGGGTTTGCTGCCAGCTGGAGCAGTAGCCAGGCTTCCTTCTCTCTCGGCTGTAGGGGTCCAGTGCCTATGAACCAAATCCCAAGGAACAACTTCCCTAGGTGGCCGCCATTCTGAAACACAGTGCTCTGGGACTCTCTTCTCAAAGCAAGGTTCTTCACTTTAGCAATTTTGAGGCTGCAAAAGATGGAGTCCTGCTGCTTCTTGGGATGTCCTCAGGCCAAAGTTTTAATTCTCCTACCCTTTCTCATCAATCAAGATCTCCTCTGTTCTATCTTCACAGGCTGCAACTTTACTAGAGCTTCCTTTCTGGCCAATCTCAAAATGTTTTAAATCATTTTGCTCTGCTCTTTGGTCTTGATTCTCAACATAAATCTGGCTAAAAACATCCAACAGTATCCATACCACTGCCTCAACATTAGACGTGAAATTTCTTCTGCCAGATTAATTGGTCAGCCACTCTTAATCTCAGTCTCAGGCACAGTCTCTGGACATCAGCAAAATGCAGACAAACTTTCCGAGAAGGTATAACACACATCGTCTGGAGTCCAGCAGCCAATGCAGTCCTTCTTCCCAGCAGAAACCTCCTGAGCCTGGTCTTTACTGGCAGGATTTCTACCAGCCTTCTTCTGGTCTTCTGAGCTCCAACCAGAATCTCCCATACAGTACACCCTAAGCGCTTCACTCCAGTCTACTTTTTCAGCCTGCGTTTCTGTACCTTTCCAAACTTTCCCACAACCCATTTCCAAAGACTCCTGAACCACATGGTCAGGTATAGTTACAGCAACAACCCCACTTCTCTGGTATCAAATTTCTGTCTTAGTTACTTTTCTCTCACTGCTGGGACAATATACCCGACACCCAAGGTTAAAGAGGCAAGGGTTTATCTAGCTCGCAGTTTCTAGAAGTTTCAGCCAATAGTTGGTTGGCTCCAAGGCAGAGAGGCACATGGCAGAGCATGGGCATCACAGAGCACAGTTCACGGTGGCCAGAAGGTACCAAAAGCAATAAAAAAGGGTCTTGTGTATACTTTCAATAGAATTTGTTTTTTTGGTACCAGGACGGAACTTGGGACCTTGAGCTTACAAGGCAAGTGGCAGAACCAATGAGCTAAATCCTCGGCCTCTACTTTCAAAAGAATTTTTAATCTCCTGGATATCTGTTTGAATCTGTTTCATGGATTCCATTTTTCCTATGTTGGGTATTCATGGCTTCCATCATTTTCTTAAGCTCCTCTATTTGTTTTTTTTTTTTGTACCGGGGATCGAACTTGGGACCTTGTGCTTATGAGGCAGGAACTGGAACCACTGAGCTAAATCCCCAGCCCATTGTTTTTCATCTGCATCTGCTCTAAAGTCACTAACCATGTCTTTCATTATGGTCACCATCTCTGCAGTTATCTGAGAAATTATTTCTGATTTGATTTTTTCTAGAGCCTCATTCATCTGCTTTGTTGCTTCCACTGTTACCACTTCAGAGAGTCCAGGTGGTTGGCTTTCAAACTGTTCTACCTCATCGCCCCCTGGGTTTGCCTTTGGTGAACTGGAAGTCTGGAGTTGCATCTTATTTAACCATCTTTTTTTTTTTTTTAGTGTAATTCCTGTGTTAATGCTTATAAATTACATATGGAAGGTAGCTTTCTTGCTAATATTGAGAAACCTTAGGAAATGACTACTCAGAGATGTCTTCCAGGTGTAGCTGGCTTTCAGGGTTTGAGTCTGTTGCAAGATCCTACCTCTTCAATTTACTGGGGATGAGAAGTTGCTGCCTATTGACCTAGCCCCTGGTTCTTTGGCCTATAGTATTGTTTATGACCCTTAGGCAATCTTAGTCTTGTTGTACCAGGAAGAACAACTGATTAGATTACAATTATGCAACCTTGGCTAAAGTACAACAATCAGCAATAACAACAACATCAAACACAGCCTAGAAAATGACAAACTGTGGTAACTATTAATTTGCCACCTTTAACCGTATGAACTAGATTTGTGGTTATATAACAAAATCTAAAAGAAACCAGAAAATTGTATATAGTAAATATGCCCTCAATATGGCAATTTTACCTCAAGGAAGAAAATTTAAAAGGGGTTGGGGAAAAATGGAGAAGTAGAAGAAGAGGAAGCGATTAGGAACAAGGCTGGAGAAAAAGGAAGATCACACAGACTTTGGAAGCTGGTGAAGAAGACAGGAGGAAGAGAAAAGAAAGAAATAAAATAACAACACATAACAACAAAAAACTGAAAATAATGTTCACATTCACATAAAAACAAGAACAAACAATCAAGAAGAAAAAAGCCCACTTCAGGGCGTGTCTCTGCTGTCACTGGTAGACAGGGGTGGAAGGAGCACAGCCCCTCACTAAGTAAATGTCACTAGGTGAATCTTCACTCAGTCGCCATGTGCTGTGTACGCTTTCCTGCTTAGGGCCCTTGAGGGTTGTCTGTGGTCAGACTACCGGACCCCACTGTGGGGAAGGTAGTGAGATGGCTGTTCATAGCCATGGTCCAATCTAATGCGGTCTCTCGGTGTATCTCACTTCTCAGTGTGTCAAACAAAACACAGGACATCCAGGTAAATCTAAACTCCAGATAAACAAGGATAAATGTGTCAGTATATTAGTTAGGATCTCTCAATAGTTGAGATAGATAGATCAATAGGTAGATAAATAGATATCATTTACAAGTATTCATTGTTTCTCTGAAACTCAAATTTAACTGGACATCCTACATTTTTGCTTGTTAAGTCTGGCAACCCTATTTCCCACCAGAGGGAAATAAGTACCTCTAATTCTGAAGTCACAGGCACACTAAGAAACCTCCCTGGCTGCGACTGTTCTGTCGCCCTGATGGGCTTGCTGCAAATTGGGTTGGCCAACGCAACAGAGCATTCAAGGGGCCAGGATGTGTGCAGAGTGCTGGGACAGCCTTCAGTGGGCTCTCCCACGGCTCCCTGTGCTGCTGCTGTTTCCTCAAACTTTCCAAGGAGGTGAGCTCCCACCGTGGTGATTCCCCTTTCCTATGGTGTCTCATGTGAGCCCTTGGAAGCTCAGCCAGAAGAAAAGCCTGGACAACTTCAACTGCAGCGGGGTCACCATCACTGAGGCCCCGCCACCCTGGAGGACAGGGATTCAGCCGAACTTGTTCACACAGGAGGGTCCCTTGTGTCCCGGGAGGCCCACACTCTGCCAGGCAAACTGACTCCAGGTATGTGCCCTACGGGGGTCCCGCGGCATGGGTCGCGTCTGCTAGGGGGAGCAATTTATTCCACCTTGTTTCACATTCCCAGACCTGAGTTGCCATTAAGTGGGAAACATGGGGGAATCTGTCCTTGGGGGAGTAGGATCATGCAGAAGGATTGACAAGTAGGATTTCTTCCCTCCTGAGATATACCGGGGAAGGAGGCTCAGTGTGGAGGTGCTGGGATCGAGCCCCCAGTACCGAAAAAAGAAAGCGGGGAGGAGAGTCTGTTACTGGATAAAGTTACACAAAATGGTCATCTTCTCCTGTCATGGGGAACAGATTTTGGCAGCTGTGGTAGATTTATGAGTTCCTAAAATCAAACCTGAGGAAAAGTCGGGTGGTGAGAAAGGAATTTCATACTCTGATTAAAGCTAGCTCCTCTCCAGTTCCAATGCTTTGTTACCCTTCTCCCTTGGGAAGGCGGAACCTCTAACCACCCCCTTTTATTCTGAGGTTGCCCACCATGCCCCCAGCAGGACTCCTTTCCAAAAATGAAGGGCCACTTTCTTAACAAAGCTACTAAAATTCATGAAAAGTGCTACAGCTGCTGCCTTGGTAATGACAGGCATTCCCTCATGCTGGATGCATGGAAATCGCCCGTCTGCTCCTCACACACTTTGCCATGTCCTCTCCAGCCTCCAGACTGGCCCATCCTCACAGTGCCCTCTCATCACCCAGGGCAGTCTTCCCCTGCTTGTTTGTGCACCCCAGTCTCCCTATGGCAATGCTCCAACGATCAAAGGGCAGTGTCTTGGCCAGGCCCTGCTGTGCTACATTGAAGGTGCCCTGGGAACCTGTTCTACACTGCTCAGCATGTGACCAAGGAGGAGGGGCGGCCAAGGTGGAGACTGCAGTCAGCTTCCTCACTATGGCAGAAGAAACTTGACTGGATCGGGAAAGGTGTGGCTCAAGGCAGATGCAAGGTGAAACTGGCAAATTTCCTTTGGTTTTTCGTTTTGTTTTAATTTGATGAGAATCCCAGGAAAAAGACTTTGGGGTTGGGTTTGATTTCTTCTGATCAGGATGCTGAATCCCAATGATTCCCCTGGATTAAAGCAGGCTCTAGAAAGATGGCAATTTTCGTACTGCTACAACATTTCAGAAACAACTAAAACAGCAAAAGCTCGTTGAACAAGCTTTTATTTTGGAACAAGACTTGGGGGAATGGAGAGATGCAAAAATGAAAAAGACATAAGCCATGTCCTCCTGGAGCTGACAAACTAATGAGAGAAGCAGCCATGTAAATACAGACATGTGGTGGATTTGGTGTTTATTAGGTAACAGTCAAAAATGTGGTCCTCAAGGGTCCCCTAGATCCTCTTAGGAATCTGAAAGGTCAGAACTATTTTCAAAATCACACTAAGATAGTATTTGACTTTTCTAGAGGCCACGGGACATGTGATAATGTCATTGCCCTGACTGCTAATGGACGGTTTTCTTGAGTTTTAAAAAAATCCTCGGTCTTGATTTCTAATGTATCAATACCAGTAACTGTAGGGAAGAGATATACGCAGATTCTTTGAGGTCCATGATAATTTTTAAGGGTATAAAGAGATACTGAGACCAAAATGTTTGAGAACCACTAAGACTTAATTTATCACTACGATTACAGTGTACGTATTTGTATCTCATCGATGTATTTTATATAACAATTTTCATCTAATTCCATGAAAATAAGTTTATTGAATGCTTTTCCTATTTTCATTGCATGATAGCTACTAGGGCAACTAATTGTTAATCTGTTTGTGTTGCTGAGTTTAAAGGTCTCCTGTGAAGTCACACAATGTTGGACTCTATTTAATTGAGCCAACATTCAGCAATCATTTCGTTTTGTTTTCTCTTACCCTGCACTTTATCTTACTTATTATTATGTTTGCTTTCTTTAAGGTTATGTTTTCTGTAGTGGCTTCTACAATTCTTTTTGGGAGGGTCAGAGAATGAACCTCTCTCTTCTGCCCATCTTTCTAGCCTTCCAGCAATGTCATACTCAGAAGCAACTCTTCAGTGTTTCCTATAATTTTACTCTTAATAGCATAGGGTCTAGAGAATAATCCTTGCACTTTCTTCCTCAGGGGGTGAACATGGAGTCTGGTGTGCCAAGTGTCTTATTTGCATAAAATCCCTTATTAAAAAGTATGCAAATGTATCTTGCAGTGCTAACAGTGAGTGATCTAATTTTCACATGAGTTTTACCTTTATTCTATTTTTGTCCTCCGTGAACCTTGAGCTCTATCTAGCTCTCCACTCTTTTCCAATCGTCATTGTTTTCTGGAACTTAACTTTGCAGCTGTGGACCTTTGTTGACAAATTGTTTCATCTCCTCTGGGTCTTAAATTATGTTCTCTTACTCTGAAGTAAAAATTCACTGTTTCCAGAAACTGTATTTAGGGTCATAATTCAATTTATCTTAACTTTGTGTAAATTCCAGCCCTCCCCATCCCAACCCCTGTCTCATCTCCAAATGACTGATGCTCAGTCTTATTTCCACATGTATAATTTTGCCTCTGTTCTACTGATAACTTGAGAACTCAGTATTTGCTTTGTGATGGGTAGTATCCACGATTTGCTTGGTTGGTTTTAAGTTGAAAAGCTTAACAATGACACATCCTAATTTCTTCCTCTCAGAATTATTCCTTAATGCAGTCTTGCTACAGATACGCCTGGTTAGTTACTCCTGTCTTTCTCTCATGATAAATTCTAAATTGCTATGGGCGTCCTCCTGGCTTGGGCTGTTTTCAGCTGGGATGTGCTCGCTGTGTGCTAGTCCAGCTTCAAGAGTGCTGGGTATTCTTCTTCCTGCACCAGGGTTCTCTTCCTCACACCCTCTCCATGTTTCTCATCCTGCCGTAGCACGTACATGATGCAGTTTAACAGCTCACTGTCTTTTTGTTTTGGCGCACATTATGTCTTCTTTACTCTCTCTGTTAAAGTAATAAGTGTATGTTCCATTGCGCTTGCCTGTGAGTCTTGAATTGGCCTTGGGTTTCCCGCCATCTGGGTTCTGCCTGGATTGCAATTTCTCTTTGATGTTGTAATACTGTTTCATTGAGCTTGAGTGTGGGGCTTATAGGGTTTGTTTGCTTTCATTTATTTCTTCCTCCAAGATGTGCGCATTTTTTCTCAAGCTTATTTTGCTGCCTTGTGCTGTTATTTTTCATTGCTTCCAACTGGGGGTGGGGCTGAGAGTGAGATTGGGCTTGAGTTTGGCTCCTGTTGCTATTACTAATATTTCCCCAGAAGCGTGCGTGCTCTCGCGTGCTCTCTCTCCCTCTCCCTCTCTCCCCTCTCCCTCTCCCTCTCTCCCTCTCCCTCCCTCTCCCTCTCCCTCTCCCCCCTCCCTGTCTGGGAGAAACCACCCTCAAAAGGCCATTGATCCCTGGCATAGATGGTGTTGAGAGGAAGATGGTCTCTGGGTCGGGATGCGCAGGAATCCAGTCTTGTACAGTCGTGAGCTTGGCCATCTGGAAGTCTCCTCTTGCTCAATGAGATGGAGTAAACACTGTCCATTATGAAATCCACCATGCAGGCTGCCAGGGACAAATGGGATCCCACCCAAAGCCAATCGCTGCTCTGACAGGGAAATTGGCTAGCACTGCCTGAGACTACTCCAGCCTCCCCGTCCCTGATGTCACAATTCAGAGGCTGCTGCCCATCCAGGAGGTTGCAGAAAGCTCTACAGTTTCTCTCTGTGTGTCCTACAGGGCTCCTCGGGCCAGGTCCCTTTCTGATGGCTTTTCTGAAAAAATACCTCCTCCCCATTCTGATGGTCCTCTTGGCCTACTACTACTATTCTGCACATGAGGAGTTCAGACCAGGTAAGTACCAGTGTGTCTCATTTTGGTAAAATAGGTTAGAAAACACAGGGCGCTAGAGTCTTCTTAAGGACCAAGATGTGTTCCTAATCCCAAATGCTGCTGAAAAAGACAGAACTTGAAAGTGGGCCAACATCCCTGTGTTCTCCAACCACAGGATGGGCAGGAGGGACTAGGAGGGCTGCTCGTGCAACCCAAAGCTTGCCAAATAGGCCACCCTTTACTTGGCACCTTAAGGAAAAGTGATTCAGATCTTCTACAGAAATGAAGGTATTTTCCCAAATTCACAAGGCAGCCAGAAAATGGGGCTCAATAGAAAGATTGATAATCAGGAGACAAAACAGGATCCGGAGTTGATGACTAAGTAGAAGGGAGGGAAAACCCCTGGAATCTCTAGCAACATATGTGTTTTGATTACTTTCTAAATTTTCTTTCAACTAATCAAAATTAGATGAGTCCAGAAATGTCTGGGATGCAGCATTTTAGCTGTATCATGTCCTTTCTGGCCCTGTCCTTATGTCCCTGCACGTGGAGGATTCTGGAAATGACAACAGCCAACCTCAGTTTTGAGCGAACAGGCTAAACCTCCCTCTATAGCTTGTTTAAAAATGACTGGAGCTGTTCCTTCAGCGACACACTGACCTGGCCTCATAACCTTTAAAACTGGGCCATGAAATGAGAACCCTCATATCATGGGAGGGAGAAGGAATGAATAGTGGTCCTCACTTCTTTTTGGGGTTCTGCAGAGATGCTCCGAGGAAAGAAAGTGATTGTCACAGGGGCCAGCAAGGGGATTGGAAGGGAAATGGCGTATCACCTGGCGAAGATGGGAGCCCATGTGGTGGTGACATCGAGGTCAAAAGAAGCCCTGCAGAAGGTGAGTGCTCTTTGCCTAGGTCCACGTCCCTGCATTGCCGACTGTGTTCTTATCCCTACTGACATGCAGACGCAAGAGCCAGTGCAGCTGTTCTCTCTCCCACTCTGTCTCTTTCTCTTTAAATCTTGCATTCTCATATATAGGTTCAAACACCCAAAACATCCACAGGAGGGGCCGGGGATTTAGCTCAGTGGTGCCACCCCCTGCCTTGCAAGTGGAAGGTCCCGAGTTGGATCTCTGGTACTACAAAAACAAAAACACCCACAGAAATATAAAAATATGCATTTAAGCATCGTCCCTATGCACACACAGGCACATACACATATACAGCCACGAAATCCTCGAGTTGTATATGGTCACATTCATCGCCATTCATGTTCATTTGAATCATGAGTATTTGGCCATGTATTCTGGTACTGAAACTCCAGGACCTGCTGATGAACACACAGCCTCACGCCTGTGCGGACTCTGAGGCAAACCTCCTCTCATGGATGCACCAGGCTAGCTGGTACTAATGTGCACAGACCTAGAGCTACCCACATGGAAACCAGTGCCCATACCGCAGTATACTCAGAAACATTCATTCACAAACACTGTGAGCAGAAGTCATGGCCTGGCACAGTAATGATTTATCCACTTAAGCTCTACCATATTTCAGAAAATGTTTCAAAGGACGACGATTATGAGCGCTCAGTGAACACACACACACACACACACACACACACACACACTATTTCTCATCTAAATGGGACCATCAGCAACCTCTCATTTAAGCCCTCATTGCTTCAAAGACTGCACCCAAAAGCCCACAGCGAGACTGACACCGTTGCCGTGACTCTGCAGGTGGTGTCCCGCTGCTCGGAACTCGGCGCGGCCTCCGCACACTACATTGCTGGCACCATGGAAGACATGAACTTCGCGGAACAATTTGTTGCCGAAGCAGGAAAGCTCATGGGTGAGGCTGCTTCTCCTCTTTCCTTCTCTGAAATTCGCCCTAAGGGTCACCACAGAGCTTTTGGGAGGGAGAGGGGAAGATATCAAACCCCAAATGGCTTCTCTCAACATAGCCATCTCCTGCAGGGGGACTAGACATGCTCATTCTCAACCACGTCTTCTACTCTCCTATGACTTTTTTCAATCGTGACACTGACATGGTGCGTCGAAGCATGGAGGTCAACTTCCACAGCTTTGTGGTCCTGAGTGCAGCTGCCTTGCCCATGCTGAAGCAGAGCAATGGGAGCATTGGTGTCGTCTCCTCGGTGGCCGGTGAGTGGGACAGGGACTAGTGTGGAAGGGAGGAGCAAAAACATGCAAGAGAGTGTGCAAGGGCTCTGTAAAGAACATGAATTTTTACCAGTATCTATGCAGAGAAGTGACAACATGAACTTGAAGTTGACATGCTCACAGTTCTATTAGGGAAAAGCTGGTTAACAGATATGCATGGATGGACAGACATATGAAGGGACTCGGGCATGTAAATTCAGTGAGGGCCAGGCATGCTGAGTAAAATACACTGTTAAGAACTACTGGGCCATAAAAAGTATTAGTCATAGTAGATGAGCTAAAAAAAAATCCCTGTCAGTAACAGAAAAAGCAGTAGTTCACAGTGCCCATGGGAAGTCTGGTGGTTTGCGATCTACAGATGGAAGCTCAAGGGATATCTAGGGCCTGCTGAAGTTCAGCCTATCCTGGTATCTCCCTTGGACAGACCTGGTCACAATGGATAAAAGACTCTGCCTCCTCCATGACCAAGAGCCATAGGCTGGTGAAGGCAACTGAGGCAAACGCAGAAGTAAGAGTTGAAATACATTAGCAACATACCGTTAGTGTCTATCCGGGGCAAAATGAATAATAGCAACAACAATAACAAAGATGCTAACAGACCTGCCTATCCTGGGGATTTTCTCCAAAGTCTTAACTGGTCACATAAACCCCATTTAAACAACTGAGCAGGCAGGAGCAGGGAGGGAAGAAACACGTACAGAAGAACGGAAACAGGGAGCCCCAGTTTGAGACAGTGGCAGCCATCAGAAGTTATCCCCAGTAAAAGGTCAGAGAGCTTCTGGCTTGGGGAATTCCTGGGCCCATTCATAATGGATCCAGAATAGAAGTTCCACACATGCCTGTGGATTAGTCTATTAGAAGGTTGTGTCGGGAAGGTCCAAACCCCAGGACCAACATCAGCCATCTAAAGGTAGCACCTGGCAATGTCAAGACTAATGGCCCAGAAGACTCTGGAAATTGCCAAGCACTTCACAAACACCAGTTCTCACTGAAACTACTAGTGACATCTATGTGTACAGAGCCCCCCTCTCTGGCCCAAGCGAGGCCTGCACAGTAACCGGGCAAAGGGGCAGTGTAGCTGTGCCGGCCGACAAACCCAGCGATTGATATGCATCCCTGTGCCGCTCCGGGCTGGAAGGAAAGGAGAGCTTCCAGATGCATACTGAGTGGGAGGGTGCTGGGCACACCCCCGTCCATCACAGGGCATTGGCCAGGAGCCTCACATCAGTCACAGTGGAGGTGGCTTTAATGATTTCAGTTTATTAGATGATACGTTCATTCTAAGAAAGCATGTGTTTCACCTTTGGCTGGAGAACTTAACTTTTATAATGTGCTCAGAAGAAATAAGAATTACTATAGAAGCTCAGAGGCATGATGAAACTCTGATAACCTCTGTTTCCATATATCTTCTACACCTACAAATGATGCTTGGTAGTTTCCACAGGCGCTGAGAGGTAGAAATTTAGTTGGACTACTATTCCTCAGATCAACTGTTAGGATAGCCGAGTTCAGACTTTTTGCTTTGAAGCCTGTCCGTGATCTTGCAAAGTACAACACACTGCTTCCTCTCCCCAATTAATTCTTTGCTCCGTGATACATTCTCTCAAAGTCAGTAAACATGTTCATTAATCCTTCCTACTTAAAATCTGAAGTGCACAAGCACAGGATACCAAACATCAAATTAGTCCAAGGTCAGCATAAGAGAATTGGTACAGAGTTTTAATCATTTCTTCTAGGGAAGACATTGTTTACTGAATTACAGTGAAAAGCAATTACTTTATTCCAAATGCCTTTCCAGGTATTCCATAACATGAAAATCTTATACTTTGAAGACTTGGCTACTTCTTTAGCATTTAACAGAGGCAGTATCAATGCTTCCTTCTGGTAGCCTTCTGGGAGGACACATCCATCCACAATGCAACCACTTCTTGGCAAGTCCCTACATGTAACACCTAAGCAGTTTCCCCTCCCTCTACCACATGCTAATTTAGACATAAGCTTAGATACTACGATAACAGAGACCCCAATTCACAATATTCTAACATCCAAATTTCTTTTTCTACTGTGAAACAGCGTAGGATAGGCAGGCCAGGACTGATAATGGTAGTTCTGCCATATGACACTGTCCAAAAACCCTTCTGGGCCGGGGATGTAGCTCAGTGGTTCCACTGCCTGCCTCGCAAGTGCAAAGTCCCGAGTTTGATCCCCGGAACCAAAAAAAACAGAACAAAACAAAAACCCTTCTGTCTCAGAACCACCACCACCAGAAATGCTGGTATTAGCTTCACCTGCATTTCCAGCTAGAGAAAATACAGAAAGAAGGGTGCCTGAGGGCTGTACTCTTCTGCCACTGCTGGCTACAATTGTGCTTTCTACTCAAACTGGACCCGTCTCCAACTAAAAATCAGGCTTTCTGCGTCTATAAAAGGGATCGATGCCTAACAACTAATCTGTTCCACATCACCAAGAAACATTAAAAAAAAACTATGCTCTCCAAGCTACCCCACATGAACCACACACACAAATATGCATATACACACGCGTATGTGTACACACACATGCGCACACGCACACAGCGGTCCTTCTTATGTTCAAGGTCCATCACAAAAACAAAACCTCCTGCATCAGGAAATAGGTTCATGGGGTGACAGAGCAGGAGAAAAAATGGGGACAATGCCCAACTGGTATTCCGAAACAGAAAAACTAATAGCAGAACTGGACTCTCACGGGATTGATTGCGCAGAGAACATTTGAAAACATCTGGAAAAGTCTATCTCCCGCTAGTCACATGGTTCTTCAGGTTAATTCTAGAAGACGGGGCTGATCCCCACTTTCGAACCCCTTGGCCGCGTGGGCCCCGTAACGGTGGTGCATCCTGCCAGTTTCACACAGGGCCCCAGATGAGCGAGCCACTCGGCCTCCCCACTCCTTTACGCCCCCGGAAGAGCCGCCACAGACCCTGCCATCCGTCTTTGCTCCTCTCAAAACCTATTTAACCCCCACTTTACATGAAGTCTTTTGCAGGACTCACCAGAGCCACTTAAGTATTTCCTCTGTCTTTACTACCCTTGATTGTCACCTTTACAAATCCTACTTTCTGCTTCTCCTTTTGTTCCATGGGGGACCCCAATGCCACCGATAACAGTAAATCACAGCGCTGAACACACAGGACAAATGTAGTAAATGTAGGTACAGTAGTTCTTCCGTGTCAAGGACAATGAAAGGAATATTTCGGAGTGAAACGAGACATACTCAAACACTGGGTTTCTTAACTCTTCAAAGTGAAAATGCACTGAGAGGAACAAAGAACCTTGTCAGTAACCTCTAAATGTTCAGCCCTCTCTTCAGAAGCGCCCAAGTGTCTCCGTTACACTTTCAAGGGCCAGGGATGTAGCTCAGTGGTTCCGCCGCCTGCCTCGCAAGACCAACTTTCAACACATCCACATATATAATTAATTTTTCCCCTTAATGCATTCCTTTTCTGGTTTACACATTTGCAGCATTGTTTCATTTTAGTTTTAAAATGTAAACATACAGTATTTGGGGCATACTGAGTGGACTAGCCAGGGGCAAATATCTCCTAAGACAATGCTTTAGTGGAAAAACTCAAACCAAGAAATGAAGTCACTTGTTGGACCTTAATCTATTTGTCAGTCGAGGGCTGCCTGTGTGGTCTAAATCTATTTTGAGAATTCAGCGTGACAAGGGGGTGCGGGGAACCAGGTTTCTCAAGTACACACATCAACTAACAGGATTTGGAATGTCCATAATGTTGTTTTGCACAAAGACAAGAATATTCAGATGTTAATCTCGTCTGGCTTTCCCCTTGGGCATCCACTCCTTCCTGAAGCAAAGGCCAGCTCCGCAGCGGGGGGTGGGGGTGGG